GGGAATCAATTCCCCCTAAAGAAAAAAGTGGAATTTTGGTTCATTAAACTAGCTTAAGTTATTAACATCAAGTTTAAGGTTTAGGCTTCTGATAATTGTTTTGAAAATTATATTTATGTAGATATTGAGCCTAAACAAGTTCTAGAACAATCAAAGAATTAGGATCGAATCAAAGCAAGGCTAAGGTGAGTGCAATTTAATTTGTGCTTATGTATAGAACGAACATTGGCTTGCGATGAGCCAGTGACGGAGTTACCATGGTAAGAAGTAACTGTTAAAAGGTTATAGTATGTGACATGATTTACATGGTTACATGTATATATGATAAGGTTGACATGTTATTTTATGTATTGTGTGATATATATATAAATATAAGTAAATAATAACATGATAAATAATAAGCTATAGGAATATGAAAGAAGTTAGGTGATAAGGACATAGGGAATGAAATGAATATGTGGCAATGAGGTATGGGTATATGCTATTGTGATAAGACATAGGAACCGATATAAGTGATATATATATATATATGTTTACATAAGCTTATGATATTGACATAATGAATGATATGAATATGTGATATATGAACATAGAAGATTAAGTGAATGAATATAGACGAGATATAAGAATAAGATATGAATAAAATGATATGAGTTATATGGGAAATATATGTGAATAAGATATAATATACATATATAGGTTTATGTGAAACCATGCAAAGTGATACGAGCTATGTGACATATGAATATGAAATCATATGATAAGTAATATGAATTACACGAAAATAAACTACATGATGATATGCACATGTGATATGAGATATATGTTTACACATACATATGGTATGTGACAGAAGAGAAAGAAATATGTGATCATATGAAATGTGATAAAGAGTTATGTGAAAGAGCAAGTGATATGAAATGTATAAATGATAATGCTCATGTTATGTGATATGAGAGCTAGTGGTATAGTTGGCATGCCAAGAGTCGAGGGTTATAGTGGTTCTTCGGGACAATACAGTGGTCCTTCAGGACAATACAGTGGTCCTTCGGGACAAATTTCATATGCCACTCAGTGGGACTTATACGAGCTGTGGTGACAACATTAGTGCACAACCTCAATGTACTCACATACCTTCAGTTCTCAACAGTGTACATGGGCCTATAAAAGATATCAAAAGTATTTGCATTATTATATGATATCGTGCTATTATTGTTTACACTTAATTCTTTGTGTACATGAACTAATAAAGAGATAATAATCACTACAATATATGTTATGTATATGCTTTTGGTGATATGAAATGTTTCACATGAATTATATAATGTTATATGGTACACAGAAAAGATAAGTACAAGATCATGATAATGAGGTTGATGTGGATAATGATGATATAGATGCATGTATGCATTTTGTTATATGAAATGTTTATGGTTTTATTATATGTTTTATATGTCTCACTAAGTCAACGACTTAGCGTGTGATTGTTTCACGCGTAGGTTCCGAGAAGAGGAAGAATGATAAAAGTTAAGCAAGACAGGTCATTTTCTCCTTTCCAAAGACCATATCAGAAAAGAAGTTAGTAGTATGTATTTTATAATACTCATAATGGTTGGTATGTAAACAAATATTTGAATATGATATGTTTTAATCGGTTTTGTAAAATCATATGATTGAATTTTGGTAATGTTATAAATGTGTATATGTAAATGGAAATTTTATACGGATGAAACCTTAGATTTTTATGAATTTATACGTATTTTATGAAGTACTGTAGCAGTACTGTAGTAGGGTATCGGTCCCCTGTAGCAGGGGAATCGGTTCCCCTCTGACAATCTAAAAATTTTTAACATCCAGGTACTGTTCACGGTATTGTTCACATTACTATTCATTATTGTTCATACGGTACTGTTCATTCTGTATTTTATTGTTCATAAATACGTTTTTGCCTCAAAATTTTATAACAAACACAATTGAATAATATATGATCGTATTTTCTTAATATAAGTTCAATGTTCTTTTATTTTGCAAGAATAAAGGTTTTGAAATGTCAATGTGACATCTCGGACTCATATCCGGGTCAGATACGGGTTGGGATGTTACATCAACAAAATTCTTCTTCGATTTATGTTACTCTACTCATCCAATTCAGTGTCTAAATATGAGTAAACTAATTTCTTGTCTCTACTTTAAGTTTTATTTATTTTGCTTCGTTCAATTATATAATAATATTTATTATTATTATTTTTTTATCTCAAATAATATTTTATTCTAACATCTGTAAATTCTTATCTAAATCCCAATTGATTCTTAAGTATGTATTGACCATGGATTAGAGAGTCATCCTGACCTAAACTTTAATGTAAAAAAAATGTTAGATGAAATAATTATGATCAAACAATAAGGAACTTTTTTCTTTCCTTTCTTTTTCAAATTATATTCGATTGATATATTTAATATTATAAATGTATATTTTTATATTTATTTATTATTTAATCACTCAGGCTACGCTAACTTTTTTTATCATTACATTAACCGTTAATTATCTTGATTAAAAAGGGGCATTTCTAATTATTTTTATTTTTGATTATTTTAATATTTATTTTGCATAAATTGATGTCTAAACATTTATACATAATATAAAACGATGTCGGATTTTTTTATTAAAGACGAAGGTATGAGCTCTTGAGGACACATGATTAATGCCAATAAAATTAGTTTGCTTGGCATTTGAGATGTAAAATTATATTATTTAAGACAAATGATTTTCAACAACATCTACAGATTTATTTAAATGTTTAATTATAAGATTTTTGTGTGAGTGTTTAAGCATTTTAATTTATTTCATATTTGTATAATTTGTTGTTTTGAGTTAATTTAGAGAAAATTTATATATTACTTTCATGTTTTAATTTATTATATATTTTACATAATTTAATATAAAAAGGAATTATCAAATGATCAATTGGTTCTATCAATTGAATGATTGAATTAGAAACCAAGAGTAAGATTGGTTAAATATTTATCACTTTCATTTAACATTATTCTCACTGAATAATATAAAAGTTGCTAACACCAAATATAAATTTTGAGTAGGGTTGTTTGGCACAAGCTCGTATGGTTCTCTATGCACGTCTCTAAACATGTTATGGTTGCTTAGTTTGTTTCTCGATCGTCTTACGACTAAGGATAGGTTGCGGAGAATGGGGGTGAATGTGGATAGTGGTTGCGTGTTGTGTGATGTTGCGGTTGAATCCCGAAACCACATTTTCTTTGAATGTCCATTTTCGATGAAGGTGTGAGGTGTTATTCTTGGTCTTTGTGATTTGGATAGTTTGATTCTTTCTTGGGATTAAGAGTTGGATTGGACGGTTTCCTACGAAATGACCATCCAGCTCAATTGGTAGAGCACAAGGTTCTTAATCTTGAGGTCGTGTGATCGAGTCCCATGGAGGGTATTTCATAATTTGGATGTCTCCTACGGAAGCTGCTCTCAACCTAGCGTTGGGGGCAGCCTACTATCTTACCTCCCCCTTACCCCATTACATATGGGAACAAGGGGCAACCATTGGACGGTTTTCCTACCTTAAGTCTTGTTGCATAAATTGGCTTGGAGTGCCTTCTTTTAATGTATTTGGGAAGAGCAATGAAGCTGGAATTTTTTATTCTTTCAAAGAGCTAATTTGTTTCGATTTTATGGGAGAAAGATTGATAGAACAGATCTCATTAATGATAAGCTTTGTATAGATTGGGGTCTGTTTGATTGTGTATCATGTTTTTGTTGAAACTCTTGTTGTTTCGTAACGGCTTGTCGTGTTTCTTCTGGATTTAATACATACATTTTATCCAAAAATTAAAAAAAAATCTTATTGTAAATACTAAAACAAGTTACAATAATTTTGTTTCCATGTTCTAAGAATATGTAAAACATGAAACATGGCTAAATTGAAGAAGAAAAAATGCGACCGACACAATCAATGATGAATAAATGAATATTGATGTGTTTCTAAAGCAAGAATTTCAGCTTCTGTTGTTTGAATATATAAATATATAATTTATTAAATTCTTAAATAGAATTTAATTATGTTTAAATATATATAAACTCACAATCAGAGATATCAACTGAAATAATATTAATCCACGTATTATTACTATCCAATTCAACATAGTGGTAAATTGTTAATTTTCACAACCTACATAATTTGATATGAACCCTTTATTATTTTCAATCTCTGGTTTACAATTCCAAGAACTCCATGCACAAGTGATGCAAATTCAGTTGGCCTAACTCATGAACCAAACAGAGGATTTTCCCGAGGTTTATACCATGCAGTTGCAATCAGAAATGGACATACTCGAGACGATGGAAGCTGTCGTCCCTTTAAAAATATCAGATTTCTATATATTTTAGATATATACATTTTTTTTAAAACTTTATTGAAAATTTATTTTTTCTTTCTTAAAATTTTATTATTTTATCTCTCCTTAAAATTTTATAAATACGACACCTCTAACATAAAATTATGCGTCTGTTTCTAATTACAATAACGATCAAGGTGACAACAGTTTAGTTCGTTTTTTTTTAATATGAACGAGAATCAAACTAAAATGGAATAAAAAACAGACTATAGAAACACGTTTTAGGTGATGATTGAGGAATATATGAATTTGGTTATCCAAAGTAATAAAAATTACTTTTTCATGGAGGCCACTTGATTCGTACAAGGCCCAATTATTTTTAATAATTATTTTTAATACTTATTATTAAAATTTAATTTTTACTATATTTATTATTATGAACTCAATATTTTCTAATATTTATTATTAGGGTCTACTCTAATAATTTATTTTTCTAATATTTTATAAGCGTATAATATTTTGCCAATATTTTTTTCTTAATATTTGTTATTAAGGGTCTAACTTTTTTCAATACTTGTTATCCTATTTATTTAATATTTGTTATTAAGGGTATACTTTTAAAATTCAAATTATTTTCTAATATTTATTTGTTATTATGAGACTATGTTTAATATTTTTTATTAGAAGTCCACTCTTTTTTTTAAATATTTTATATTATTATATACTCTTGAAATTTATTTTTTATATTTGTTATTAGGGAGCCATTTCTTTCAATACTTATTATTATGAAGCTATCTTAATTTTTTTTTCAACACTCGTTATTAGGAACAATTACTTAGTCTGTAATCACAGCAACGATTGTTATGTAGTGGTAACGATATCTACAACTGTTATGTCCAGAATAGTACATATTATTAAAAATTCACAATCACCATACTTGCAAAAACCGTAATATCATCGATTATGTCCGCAATAGTGATAAATACAACGCGGTCAAATACACAAATTATAATTTAAATCACTAATTAGGGGCCTAATTTTTGTTCACCCGAGCGTCGTCAAAATCTCAAAAACAGACCTGCATATTAGTATACAAGTCACAATGTGACTCTAAAGGTAACAAGGACTCTTGGATGGGAGATCTTGCATACCTAGGTATTTTCTCCTAGAGAATGTACATCATCCCCTTGGTTACATACATGCGTGTTAATGTACAAGTCACAATTTAAATCCCTATGCTAGCACAAGGTGAGAGTATATCGATATATACACTCTATAGATACAGTAACTCTTAAATGTCAAACCCGAATTTTTAAAATAAGGGCATTTTGTTTTACCATTAAGCTAAGAGTTGAAACCAGATCTAGGGTTTGGTTGTGCTTTGAAAGCTTCCAGTGACAAGGCCCAATGCTGCAGCCATTTGTAGTGGACTTAAAGCCGCCAGATCTTCCATTGCTAGCCAATGAAACCTAGAACACCAAGTCCATCTGGGGACGTTAATTTTGAAATGCAGATTTGGATGTTTACTGCTCACAACTTTTAGCAGATCTTTCTTTTATCAATGTCAAAGAACTGTTCATAACATCAACTTATGTACAATACAGATTTGTTGTTAACAACTTGGGCAAAGAAAAAGTTTGGGTAGAAGAATAAAAGGGTAAAAATCAAATTTTTATGCTTAAATTTGTCCAACCTTTTAAAATTGATCCTTTTTTTTCAAGAAAGTATTTGAATTTGGGTTTTTTTTATCATTATACTTTTAAATTATGTGATGTTTTATAATATTCACGTCAATGATTAAAATGATTATAAATGAATACTATATTATAATCGTTATGGTCATGAATCGATTCTATATTTTATAATATAAGAAACTTATTTTTTAAATTTAGTTTGGGAAACCTAAGAATGTGATATTAATGTGCGGCCGAATAAACTGTTGCCTAATTTAAAAATTAAATACCTTCCCCACTGGTTCCTATGCTATTAGATTTCGAAAGCTTATTTCAACCATTAATCTAAAATCCAAAACATTGTAATTCACGAACTATCACCCAATGGATACTCGCCACGTACCCTCTTACCAGCCCAAAAGTTCAATCTTTGTCTAGTTCCTCGCTGTGTTTCTCCTTGCCCAACAATCCCACCACTTGGAATGGATTTGCAGCCAAAAAAAAAAAGGGGGGAAATGAAAACCAGCTCATTGCATGTTAAAACTTAGTGAAAAGAATTAAGAATTTTTCATTGGAATCCCCTCAAGATTTGGTTGGCCAAATCGCCCAACTTCTTCTCTTTTTTTCATCTTCGGTCCCTCCTAAGATTTTCCCATAAACCCATTGATTCATTCATTGTCTTTCATTCTTCTTCTTTTGTTTCACATTCTAAAGATTCTTGCTTTTTGCTTGCTGCTGGTTCCAAGAGTGTTTTTTTTTAATCTATTTTTGTTATTCTGAGTGTAATGGCCAATGCATCTGGGTTTCTCACACCTTCGGTTCCGAGTTTGAAGACAAAGATTCAGCCTTCAACAGGCATTTCTCGATCTGGGTTTTGCTTCTACAGGAGGGTAGTTTGCTCAAGTTCCATTGAAGGTGCAGAGAAGCATGTTTCCCCTTCTGAATCTCGAATCCCCAAGTAAAACATTTCTGCTTCTTTTTTATAATTTTTGCTTGATTGAATGGAATCTAGTTTATCAGCTGCTATATTTTTTTAAATGGTGTTAAATGAGATTCCTTTGTTGATCATGATTTTGTAACGGTAGTAAGTAGTTGAGGTAATTTGCATGTTTTTGCTCAATAATGAATAAATCTTTGGTTTAGTATTGGGTATTTCACTGTTTGTTTGTTTGTAGTTACTGTGAAGTTGTAGGCTGAAGTGTTATTGGTGAAAGGGGTTCCTTAGCTGTGTTTCTTGCACCAAGGCTAGAATGGTTAATGGTAATCCGAAATCCGAAATCGGTGATCCGCCTAGTTTATGAAAAGGTAGCTTTGCTGAGGTTTCTCGGACTTGGTATTAGCAAGATGTTTGGCTTATGATGCTCTTAAGAAGTCTGAGCTGAATAAACAGATGACAAACCATGGTATCGAGATATCTAGAATAACTTATTGTGCTGAGCTCGATACCAATATAGTATTGGTTATTATTCATTTGTGGATATGTTTGATACTGATACTTCATGTTTGTTGGTTGCTAGATATGATGGTGAATCCTTTTTTCTGGCTCATTTTATCTCTAGGAAGCCATCTTAGTGATTGATGATTCCATATTAGTCTAGGAGACGGTTAATATTAGTCTAGTCTTCATATTTAAGATGCATCATCGTTTTTGTTCGTGTGTTCACAACTTTCATATTCGAAAGGATAACAATTTTCCTGTCTTATGATTTACTTTTCTGTTTATACTTTGGAAATAAAACTTAGGCTTGTCAGTAAAGGCTGTAAGTTAGTTGGCTCTGGATCAGCAGTGCCATCTCTTTCGGTTTCCAATGACGATCTTTCTAAAATAGTCGATACTTCTGATGAATGGATCTCTGTTCGCACCGGTATACAAAACCGACGGGTAATTTCAGGTCAGATACAATTCATACTAGTGCTATGTGTAGAATTGTGTTAAATACCCATTGATGTGATTAAAATCTTGAAGAGGTTGCGTAAGTATTGTACCCTATGTCAGTGTAGTTTTTCGTTTGTAAAAGATTGAAACTTATATGCCTCTTATATATAGTTGATATGGTTTCACCGTGATCCTGCGGTGGAGATTTGTATTAACAATTGTTCTTACAGGAAAGGAAAGCTTGAAAAACCTAGCAGTAGAAGCGGCACGGAAAGCTCTTGAAATGGCAGATGCTGATCCTAATGATCTTGACCTAATCTTGATGTGCACATCTACTCCAGAAGATATTTTCGGAGCTGCTCCTCAGGTTATTTTTTCTTGAATCCAAAGAACGCTTTTTATTATTTATGCTTTGAGCTTTGCCAGTCCACTGTTATCCGTATTCCGTCATTTACTGCATGGTATGTGCTTCTTTGAAAAGCCATTTGTGAATGTTTTATCTGATAGTGATTTTGTACCTTGTTATGACAACCATTATTTAACCCGACAGATCCAAAGAGAGCTTGGCTGCAAGAAGTCTCCTTTAGCTTATGACATTACGGCTGCTTGTAGCGGATTTGTGCTAGGTCTGGTCTCAGCTGCATGTCACATTAGGGGTAATAAAAGAAATTTACTTCACAGAAAGGAGGTCTCGGTTATGTTGATTCATGTCATAACTTTGAACTCCTACATTTGTGAATTACAGGAGGTGGGTTTCGTAATGTTTTGGTAATTGGAGCTGATGGTCTTTCTCGATTTATTGATTGGACTGATAGGGGAACATGTATCCTCTTCGGGGATGCTGCGGGTGCTGTACTAGTTCAGGTAATATACTCCTAACTTCTTTACATAAGTTAACTCTTTTCCCGAAGATGCAATGGCGATTTCTTGAATTTGCATAAGCAAGTGCATGCATGTAAATAGATATATAGTCTTAAATCAAAGGTTGTATATTGTTCCCGTTGTGCATTGTACCCTTTGCCGAGTTTTCCGAACACCATTACACACGTAATATGAGTGTGGAGTGGTTTGTGCCTGACTTGTGCTCTATATTACATTCTCTGATACACTTGTGTGATGGATGATTCATTTCATATTTACAGGTTCTTTTGTAACTTCCATGTACACACACACACACATATATATATACACACACGCATGCATACATGAATATGCAACAAAACATGATATCATTTGTCATTGATTCTGTAGGCCTGTGATGCCGAGGAGGATGGTTTATTAAGCTTCGACATGCATAGTGATGGTGAAGGTGGAAGGTATGCGCCTTGTGTTATTGAATTAAACAAACACCGTTTTGGTTCCTCTTGAGGAATTTGATCGAGTTTCCGCCCCTGTTGCAGACATCTTGGCGCCCCCATGAGTGATGATAAAACCAAAGAACTGTTGGGTTCCAATGGTTCGGTGTTAGATTTCCCTCCAAAAAGGTCCTCTTATTCCTGCATACAGATGAATGGCCAAGAAGTCTTTCGCTTCGCTGTCCGATGTGTACCACAATCACTCGAATCTGCCTTTGAGAAAGCTGGTCTTGCTTCATCCAGCGTTGACTGGTTGTTGCTCCATCAGGTATATATGACCTAGTGTACAATTGATTCCGGTAACCATTGAGGTTGTTGCACGACTATCCGACGGATTTGATTAATGCAGGCAAACCAGAGGATTATCGATGCGGTCGCGACACGGTTAGATTTCCCGCAGGAAAAAGTGATTTCGAATTTGGCGAATTACGGTAATACGAGCGCCGCATCCATTCCTTTGGCACTGGACGAAGCCGTTCGAAGCGGGAAGGTGAAGCCAGGCCATACAATCGCAACTGCGGGCTTCGGCGCAGGTCTAACTTGGGGTTCCGCAATTATTAGATGGGGATGAAAGGTACCCCTTCAGCAAAATTAACCATGTTTGGAAGATCTTATGAACAGCTCTATCCAGTTCCAACATTCTGATCCAAAAATACACAGAAAATAGGAGTTTGGAATCACATCAGCTCCATTATTGTTTGTTCGAAATCTGCTACGTTTTAGTTGTTTCGTTCCGAATAAATTGTCTTTCTTTTCCCGCAAGTAACTGTTTTTCTTTCTCGAGTATTTGTTAGACATGAGTATGTTCGGTTTTCTGAAGACTTGTTTTTCTCCAAAGCAACTAATTTCGACTGCTTTTATCGTGGTTACAAGTATGAATTAGGAGCCAAAGCAAAAAAGAAAATTTCATTAGAGACAAAAGTGAGAAACGTGACCACCTTTGGGGGGCAAAAGTGTATTTAACCCAAATCTACCATTATGACAAAACTTAGTTAATTGCACCATACACACCCAAACTATGATCCTAATTTTAAATTGGTCCTCGAACTTTTGGATGTTCCAAATTAATCCCCAAAATATGAATCCCTTTCTATATTGGTACCTAAACTTTTGAACATTTCACATATCAAAATTATGAACCTTATTCTATATTGATCCCGAATTTTTTTTAATGTTTCAATAACATCCCCAAATATCATTTAAAAAAGAGTGTTGTTCTCGCTAGAGTTCCTAAGTTTGAGCAATATTGTTTATGGGGCGTGTGAGTGTTTTCAATGAGTAATAAAATTTTTTAGTATATAATACCTTGTAATCACCCCAGAACATTCAAAGTTTGAGAAATAATTTAGAATGTTCAAAAGTTTAAAGACCAATTAAAAACAAAAGTCATAATTTATGGGATAAAATTAGAATGTTCAAAAGTTCAAAGACCGGTTATCTACCTCCCTGTTTCCTTTTTTGATTGAATCTGTAACCATTTTTACTCATTTCTCTGGATTTTGATCCATGGGTTGTTTTTAAAATTTGTTTTTCTTTGGGAAGACTCAGGATTGACTACTGAACTGGATGCTGTGTCTACTTTCAGTGAGATAGTTCCTGACACTGTCATCTTTGATGATTTTGTTTTGGAATGTTGGGTTTTTTAAATGAAAATTTTTAGTGTAAAAAGGACTAATTTTGTTTATATTAATCTATTGAAATTTGTAGGTTTCCACCAACTGTTGCAACTGTTAGCTCTTCACTGCTTTTGGGTATATTGAGCCTTCCAGATACCATTTTCAGAGTAAGCATTGTCATTGATATATAAACATAGTTTAAAACCTTCTGTATGTATAACAAATTGCCTAGTGGATTTTTGGTTTAGAATGCTGTGGATATGGCCTTGGCGGGTTCACCTTGTTCTAAGCTTGACAAACCTGAAATGAGGTTGTCTTGTTTCTATAATAAGGTTTGTAATCTTTAATTTTTTTTGTTATGCTATCTAATTTTCATGTCCATTGATAAATAAGGGAAAACTAGAATCGGGTCGTTAATTTGTTTCACTTTTGGTTGTTCATCAAGTGTAGGATTTAGTAAATGTTGGTGCAGACTTGGCGAAGCTAGTCCCTGGTCAAGTTTCGACCGAAGTGGATGCACGTCTAGCTTCTGACACTCATGGTATTGTTAGGAGGGTACTAACTCTTCTTATTTCTCCTTTATGTTGCTTGTTATTTTTCTTTCAAGTTTGTTGTATGATTGTTGTCCTGTATCACAAATTCACAATCATTTCCTATTTGTTGTTGAAAATTGTTTTAGGTCATATGCATAAGTGTCAATGTTGAAAGTTTTAATTAGATGTTCACATTGATGAAACGAACTGTTCATTCATCGTCCCAGAATTTTTGTTGTTTTATGTTGACTTGGGGTTATTCTCTTTGCTGTTGGAATAAGAAACGTGACATACTCGATATCTGTTGTACATCCTTTTATCATTAGAAGTATTATAAGGATTATAATGCTTCTCTGTAAAACATGATTGTAAGATGAATGAAGTTGCCTTCTGTATTTCTTTTACCTTTTATATGTTATAGTAGCTTATTCCCTTTTGTTGAATATGCTGCTGGATGCTAACAACTTATTGCGGTATGCAGGTTCATGACTTACTGAAGTTGTATAATGAGATTGATATTCCTCCCGAGCGTTTACTGTTCAAAATTCCTTCAACTTGGCAAGTGAGTATCTCAACTAATTGTGCAATACTCGTAAAGAAGGTAAGTCTTGATAGTCTTGGAATATAGAAGCTAAATTATACTTACTATTGCTTGTTGGTTATCCAGGGAATAGAAGCCTCGAGATTGCTTGAATCTGAGGGTATACAAACACATTTGACATTTGTTTAAAGCTATACGATTATTTTGACAATTGATGTTGCTTGATTATAATATGCCAAATTTTGAAAGAAAAAGCAACCTCACTTGCCTGACATTGCGTCCCCTTCGTCTTCTAATCATTGCTTTTGCTTCAGCTTTGCTCAAACTGTAGCTGCAGCCCCTAGCTGGTGTTTCTGTTATCCAGATTTTTGTTGGCCGTGTTAGGGTAAACCTTTTTCCTGAAAACCTTTGGTGACTTTCGTATGCAAACCTCGATCTTTTGTTATCCTTGAAACTCATTCTTTTTCTTCAGGATTGGGCACGAAATAATTCTGGTGACCCGGAGATTGAAGCTGCCATTCAAATAGGAGAGGATCCTGGGTTGGCTGTGGCTAGTTGAACAACTATTGGTTTTAAAGTGTAGGCTTAGCTTGTTGCGGTTTACAGGTTTTTGGTTGAGTATTTCGATTTGAACAATTGTTTCTATGCATGCTTCCGAAATCACGAGAGCCAATGTGGCTGCTCATAGAAACAACTGTTTCTAATGCTTTTGAGTTGTGACTATTAAGCATTGATGTTTTGAAATAGCTTTTTAGGACTTCTCCAATGGAAATAAGGGATTGTTATTTAGTTACTATATTCAATAATTTTGTTTTAGCATAAGAAGGTTTGAAGTCGATGTACTTTCATTTGTCATCGCAGGTGACAAAAGCTTATAACTACATTCACAAATACAGACATAAATCAAAGCTGATGGCTGCTGCAGTTCGAAACAAGCAGGATTTATTTAGTCTGCTGGGGTATCTTGTGACTCGAACAATCAACAATTATTCATTTAATCCGAAATCATTGGAAATTAAGAACCGAATCTTGATCTTTTCTTGCTCTTAAACTTGTTGTATGATTTATTTCTTTCAGGGTTGACTATATCATTGCACCCTTGAAGATATTGCAGTCCCTGAAAGAATCAATTACTGCACCCGATGAGAAGTACTCTTATGCTCGGAGGCTTTCCCCGCAGTCTGCTGTCAACTATGATTTCACTGCTGAGGAGGTACCTCTTTTCCCTTTCCCTTAGTTTCGATTGTCGAAACTGAAAAAAAGAATGGGGAAAAGGAAACTGAAACTCACTGCACATTATAATGACAAAATCGATGTGGATATAGTGATTTCACCAGGACATTAAAGGAGTCGAGCTGGAACATTTTCTTCCATGTACCAATTTGGTTACTGATCATTCCTTGTTTGAAAATAGAAAACTGAAACAACTTTTATACGTCCCTTGTACAATTTCCTTATCCATTTTCAAGGCTATTCATCGGGCCATGGTCATGAATACCATATCCGATCTTTGCTACTTGATGAGCTATTTGCTGCAATTTTGGTTACGAAATAGACCGTGTACCTCTTTACAACCATGATCTTGAAATCATCAAGATTATGATCTTTCTTTTTTCAGTCCAACACCGCCAGTATCCAGTAGCCACATTGAGCCCTGAGTATTTCAGGAGTCAAGCTAGGTCAAACCCGAAACGGGGAGAAAGCTCTCCTTTCGGAATACTTTTTTTTTCTTTCTCAAGGGACACTTAGCTCCATGCTAACCGGATCAACAGGCTTTGATTAAGGTCTGTGAAACTGTTATGATGACTGATATTTCTCTCTACGTTCAGCTCACAAAGTGGGACCCGACTAAGCCTCGGATCGGCTATGGGACCTGCATCTGTGGAGCTTCTAGCTGCCGGACTGGACGGATATGTTAATCAAACGAAGCGAGTCGAGGGATTACTTGACAAGATGTGGCCGCCTCCGAATGTCTAAAACGGCCCCCTCCATTTCGATCCACATCAAAATACACGGATATTTTATTTTTGAACAAATAAAATTAAATTATTTAATTTTTGGATTTTTAATTGAAACTTAAATTTTAGGCCTGTAAACGAACCGAACGCACACGAATGGATGCATGTTCATGTTCGTTCATTTAATAAATAAACGAACATAAACGAACAAAATTTTTTCTGTTCATGTTCTTTTATTAAGGAATATAATTTGTTCATATTTGTTCATTTAATAAATAAACGAACATAAACGAATACGAACATAAACGAACACGAACATAAATGTACACGAACATAAACGTTGGAGACCCGACCTAGGGGTGTAAACGAAAGTCAAGCTCGAGTATTGCTGAGCTCGATTCGAACTCGAAAACTTTCAAAGTCAGCTCGACTCGAAAACTCGCGAGCTTAAAATTATCAAGTTCGACTCGAACTCGAAATATAATATTGAAACTCGACTCGAACTCGAAAAGGCTCGAACTCAAAAAAATTTAAGATCTCGATTAAAACTCGAGACTCGAGCTCGATTGAAGTTTGATTCTGAGCTCGATTGAAGCTCAATTCTGAGCTCGATTGAAGCTCGATTCTGAGCTCAATTCAAGCTCGACATTGCCCCAAGCGCAAAGATGCTTAAACCTATTCTCCCCCATCTTCTTTTATATAAGTTATCATCCCCGAGCTGCTTGTTTGCTACTGATGTAGGATTGCATAACGTTCCTCCACTTTCTTTCTTCCTCTCTCCTTCAACAACAGTCGAGATGAACACATATTGTATTTCATGTGATTGTCGACCTTAATCCTTAGAGATCAAACAAATATGTCCTTAACTTCGTGCTACGTAGAAGTTGAAAATTGGGACTCCTCTTTGCTCATCGGATAACCAGCTGGTGGCACATTCATATAGGGTTCTGGCGCAGTGGATGTTGACGGTTTTGGGTATAAAGCTTATAGATCGTTCAAAAAGAACTAAATCATGTTAATATTGTTGGGTTTTCCAAATAAAATTGGGTTTATGGAGTTGGTCATCAGAATATCAAATTAATTAATATTTTTAAGATACTTACAAATTGGTCACCAAAATTGATTTAAGAAGATTGTGTTAAACATAAATGAATGAACATAAACGAACATAACCGAACGTTCACAACGTAAATGAACGAACGAGACCTATGTTCATGTTCGTTCATTTAATTAAACGAACACAAAATTTTGTTCATGTTCGTTCATTTAATAAATAAACGCACATAAACGAACTTCCCGCCGCACGGTTCATGAACGGTTCGCTGAACGTTCGGTTCATTTACAAGCCTATTAAATTTCATAAAAAAAATCAATTTTATCATATCAAATCAAAACTTATGTAGAGGAAAGATTTCATAAAATAAATTAATTGTTATATATAATTTTTATTTTGAGAATCATACTAAGTACGTATTTATTTGTTTTGCATTGATATAGTCTCTCTCTTTTTAAAGATAACACTTGCTGATATAAGGTCTTATATATTAGTAATTTGTGTTATATTTCATCTAAAAAACTACTAAATTGTCGTGCCATAAGCAAACCATCAAAAGATCAAAATACGTTCTTAATTGTTTCATGGTATTGAACAGTTTTAATTGCTCGAAACAAACTTACAAGCATGACTTCCTTGGCAAATTTAAGAAGAGGCAAACTACTGACTGAAAATTTCCCACTGGGAACTACTTTAATCCATTCGGAAAAGTACAGATTTACCGAAATGGGGGGCAAACATAAATAAGTTAGAACTCTCGGGTCATATTTACCTCATCTGGACAATGCCAGCAGAGGTCTGCTTTTGAATTTTGTTCATCACCATAGGATTCTTCGTGTGCTCCTGTGCTGCCTTTGCGTTCTCCTGAAAATCAGTCAACACCTGCCCACATCTCAAATATTTCTCAATAAACCATATAAACAAAAAAAAAAAAGAACATGAATACAATCAACTTACGAGTCATGCGCAACTATACTCGTGTATTTCCAGTACTTACCTGTCTCATGACTGGATCCGACAGAATGTTTTGAATTTCCGGATCTTGCATTGCCCTGGCCTGCAACATTACAATGTCAGGGCCTCCTAATCAGTTTCAAAACGTAGGTGTAAACAACATAAACGAGAAATGAAATAACTTACCTGTCTTTCCTTCAATTCTTCAGGGCTCAAATCACCTCGACTAGCTTTGTTGATCTGTTCTACACATCTGCAAAATAGTCGAGAGGAACAGGATGAAAATGGTGAAAAAGAAACACGAAACCAAAAATGTAAAGCAGAAAGTCATATATATACCTTCTAACACCATCGAGCAATTCCTGGTTATTTGGATCATGTTCCAATCCTTCCTGGTATGTCTCTAAAGCTCTGTCATACTCCTTCATGAAGAACTGAACAGCTCCCTTTCTTGTGTAACCCTTGGAAAATGTTGGATCAAGCTCAATGCACTTCTCAGCATCTTTCAAGCCCTCAGGCAAAGCACCCAATTTTGTGTAGCATGCGGCTCCATTGCTGTATGCCTGACAAGGCCATAATGCATTTCAGCATTAAGTATGATGTCGGTTTTAGTGCATTAGCCGGCAATAAATTCGCCAAAAACTAGAGTAAGACTTCTTACCTTCGGATCTTTGGGGTTTCTTCTCAACGATTCTGTATAAACTCATGTGATCAGAAAGAAGAAAATGAACGGAAATCCTTATATGGGAGGAAAAGATAGGCGTTTCCTTACCCATCCACTGCCACCTCACGTTGTCTTTTGAAGAACAAAAAATGTGTTTGCGCATGTACAAACTCATGCTCAATACCAACACAATTAAGCAGATAATATACATTCTGAATATTTAGCAACTCGTACTGGTTAGATCAGACTCTTCCTAACCTTTTTCGTACTGGTTAGATCAGACTAGAGATTTCTCTTGGAATTTATTTGATCAATATTATCTTGAAACATTCTCTTGCATTAATAGGTGCTTTAAAGGTGAATTTTTATTCCTTGCGAGCCAAGGCAAAGATCTTCACGATCCATCTCCTCTATAGACATCCGCAACCTCTGCATCGAATCACTTATGCCCGCTACGTTGGTCTTCAGCCGATGGGTCCTCGACACGTCTTTTAGCAACCTCGACGTCGATTTCGCGGTGAAACACGTCGCGTTCAGCGCCGTATGGGCCAATAGCTTGGGGTTGCCTTTGATTTTGCTGGCATGGCGTGCTATAGATTTCAAGCATAATTTGGGGTAGCTTGTTGCTCTGCAAGAGTTTCTTATGAACTCTTTGTGATTGCCATTAGAGGCGGAGCATGGATTAAAATAAGAACACAACTGAAGAAGAATAAATAGAAATATTAAAGCATAAATTGAGAATTTTCTTGCCATTTGGTCTCTTTTTGTTTGTGTATTTTAATGAATCTGGACACCCAATTTATAGAAAACCCCTTTCTCCCCCCTTCAAATCTCAGAGATTATAATTTCGTTAGAGGCTACGGTTAAGACAAACAATGACAGAAGGAGGGTGAGACCGTGGGAGTTAGAGGGTGAAGGTTGGGTTGTAATTTGGGATTAGGGTTTAGGAATAAATTTTAAGAATTTTTATTTTTATTTTTATAAATTCTACATTTCATTCCATTATTATTTTAAATTAAAAGATATTCAAAAGTGAACACACGGTATTCATTTAATTATTGCATGTGAAATTAAAAAATGGTAAATTATACAGTTCCGTGTTGAATTATAATTTTTCTTCTATTTTATTTACCGTACTTTCATTTTTTCTAACGTGTTCACTGAACTTTCGAATTACTTTTATTTTAATCACTCTGAATTATTTTATTATTTAATTTAAAATATATAATAAAAATAAAAGGTGGACGAACGCCGCCATCGACCGTTGTGGATGGAGGTTGCTCAGTCCCAAATTTTATGGGTCGTTTCGCCTTGACACCGTGAGTTCGAATCCGACCTCCATTTTGTCGGAACTTGCTCCGAAGTCCACGAATTAGAGATTGAAAGTGAGAAAGTGGAAATTTCCAATCGAGATTCACTAGTTTTGAGACATTTTCCAATGAAATAATCACCATATTCGAACTCAATGGGTCAAGACGAATTGACCCATGAAATTTAGGATTGAACGACCACCATTTACTATGGTTGGTGGTGCCATTAGACCATCTTCTGTTTTTATTTTATATTTCCAATTGTTTTATATTGAATAATAATAATAAAACCTATGCCCAGGGCTGGCCCTGCCCACGTACTTGTTGTGGTGTATCCGAGTAAGGATATTACACCTGCCAACCCACCCTTCGTAAGTGTTAAGGCCTCAGCACATAGTCGCAGAAGTTCCTTGCGCATGCACTTACTTCCCATACAATAAAATATCATGACATACAAAAATAATAATTAAATAATTCAAAATTATCAAAATAAGATCAAAAGTTGAGTGATTAAATTAAAAAAAATAAAAGTACGGTAAGTAAAATAGAAGAGAGAGTATAGTTCAATGAGAAATGGTGTAATTAACCCTTAAAAATTCTACTAATCAATAGTTTTTCCTTTTAACAATTCAATCCTCTAACTCGCTCCTATTAATTAGTAATTTGTTTAATCAATGGCAACATACATACACCACTCCTATTTGATATATTAATCTAAATCGAGTATTGCATAGACACATTATAATAATACTCTATCTCAATTTACTTCATTCACAATGTTAAAATTCAAACTTATAATTTTACTTAGAAATCTAGTATCTAATCTTATTAAATCGAAAAATTATCGATAGTTAATATTTTTTTAACCATGTAAAAAAATTAAGTTAAACTATGATATTTCCAAAAACAATAATAGAATTGTATTCCATGTGATGTTACAATTTTATTTTGTTTTATTGTTAGTAATTTCATTTTCTATCACCATTTAATTTCTATTAATTTATTGATTTAATATGAATATTTTTTTTGAAACGAAACAAAACAAAATCAGACAAGAAGTTTTCCACCAGTAATGTCGATGTAGATGATCATGATAAAGATTGATCAACAAAGTTAATGAGTGGAGGAAAAAAAACCTTTTAGGTCCCTTTCGACTTGAAGCTAGAAAAATTGGTCCCTCTGAAAAAATAAAATAATTTAGTTCTTGATAAATTTGAAAGTGAACGATGAAAATTAGTTAATCACTTTAATTTCTTTTTACCAATTTCAGATGATTTCATTTCATTTATTGATCGATTAATCTGATCGGTTCTACTTAATTTGTTATACAATATGTTAATTTGGACGTATACTAAAAAATTATACAATTAGCCGCTCTCTCCCTCCCCTCTCTTTCCCTCGTTTTTTTTATAATTTGTGTCAATTTTTACATATCAAATCAATTTTTTCCTTTTTGATTTTGTTTAGTCAATGGTGCCACCGATTTTGATACTAATTGTTGATTGTCGGTTGTCTTTTCTCTTTGTTTTTTTAGTTTTTTAATAAGAATAATTATATTTTTGTGACATGCTTATCTTTGATTTTGTAGTACGTTTTTCTCTACTTTTTGGCAATGTTTAGTCGTTGATTTTGGATTTGACATTACCATGAGTGATCAATATTACGCTTATTTGATATCATGCAGATCTTCTCTGCTTTGGACCATCAGATTGATTTAGATATGTATTTCGTGCTCGTGCATAGTTTTCTCACGTCGCTCGACTCTGATTTGTGATTTTTCGGTGATCTTTGACTAGTTTCATCTCTTTTTGTGATTTGTTTGCTGATACAGACAGATTTGTTCGTATCTTTATTTTATTCGAGCATTTGTTATGTTTTTTAACATTTTTCTTTTATGGTCATTGTGTGATTTAGTTAGCTAGCTTTTGTGTTAATGATTGTAGGAAAACGTCCTAATCATAATTTAATTTACGTTTACGATTATGCTTATAAATTTTCATTGTAATTCTGTATATTTTCCATTTTTAATAAAACTAACGTATTTCTATAAAGAAAAAAAAAAGAAAATTATACAACTTAAACGTTTTGTAAATGTTGACATTTATTTTATTTTTTTAGATTCGTAATTAAATTAACATAATGGGTAACTTTGATGACTTGATTTGTTATTATGCTGATTGAAATTATGGAAGATTGATGTTCATTTTATAAAAAAATAATAATAATAAAGACAAAGCAACATTCAGTCCCTAAATTTAATAATTTCTCTTAATTTGGTCCTTGAATTTTTTGTTCATATTAATATCAAAATTTGCCAACTAACATAACTTGGTCTTTTAACTATAACTTTTAATTATTTTAATGATATGATAATCTAAAATTATGCCACATCATTATCTATAAAAAGAAAAATATATTTTAACATTTTAGGTATAATAAAATAATATTCCGTTTGTACAAACAATTATTTTGATTTTTATTTTTTTAATATTTTAATTTTTTAGTTAAAATAATTCATATTAGATGAAAATTATTAGTTAATTAATATTTTTTTTATTAATCGTACGATTACAAGACAATGTATGTCTAGATACTTGAGACCTCTAATAATAAATATTTTTTAAATCACTGAAGTCGTATAATTCGTATAACTCTTAAATTTAGTTTATAAATCTTGAAGTCTAAATAAAATATATAACATTAAAATATTTTTCAGTGATTTGGGCATAGAATAACTTTTAATTTATATATGAACCTATCGAATGGTCTCAATAATAATCGATTACAACTATAACACGTGCGTTAATTAATAAAGTTATGATCTTTAAGTCACTTTAAAATATTAAAAGAAAAACTTTTAATTTATACATTACAAATACACCATAGTGAATGTCCCACTACCGCATGGAGCTTTATATATTTTTAATATTTCTATTTTATTATAATATATAAATTAAATTTAAGTGGTAAGAATTTATTTTATCATTTAAGTTGTCACGAAAATAATAATAATAGCTTATTTTTAAAATAATATAGTATCTATATTATTTAAATTCTTTATTATTTATAAATTGAAAATATTAAAAACCTAAATATATTTAATAATAAAGTTAGAGACAATAAAGTTTTAAAAAAGAACTCCTTTTAAGTACATTATCTCAAAAATAAAAATTATAAAAATATTATATTTGACGTGTCGACATTATAAAGCACAACTTCCACAGTGCATATTAGTGCGATCTTCAGTCATACAGTGAGTGTCGGTTCCAGAAAGAACTTTACTCAAAAATAAAAACGTGGATTTACAACTGATTGTAAATTTTCCGAGAAAATTCCATATCCAAACAGATAACAATTACGGAAACCACGAACCACAAGACACAAATCTGCAGCAAATCCCAGACAGAACATAAAGAATCAAAGGGATCTAAGACATTGAAGAAGAATAGTTATTGATGAGAGCCAATGCATTACTCGTCAAATGAGCAATTTTGACGACCCGTTTCCTCACAATCGTCTTCACGTACCCATTCATGGCTCTCCCTGCAAATCCATCCATGCACGTGTCTTCGTCCGTCAACGCGGCACTAACCCAGGTCTGAACATCGCTCATTATGAGTTGGAAATTCGAGCGTTTCAACCGGACGAGTTCGCCGATCGATTGCTGCAGCTCGTCCAGTGAGTCGCCGAACAACTCGATGCAATCCGCCATGGCCGCCGCGACCCGAGGTTTCAAACCGTGGGTTCTGGCGAGTTTTCTCATCAGCCGGGACGATGATTTGCTGGCTTTGAAGGTGATTATGAGCGCCGATTGGGCTAACAATCTGGGGCTGGTGTTGATTTTGGCGGCGTAGATCGAAAGGGAACGGTAACATAATCTGGGGTACGTTGTGGCTGTGCATGAAGATCTGATGTACTCGGTGTTCCTTGTGTGGTGATATGGTCTGTTGTTGAAGCTTTTGGCTATGGAGGTCGTGAATTGGAGGAGGAGGGTGATGAAAAGGATCGCCCGTCCATGGCGTGAAGATGGAACCGCCATTTTTCTTTTAATGGGGATTGATGGGAAAGTTAAAAAGAACACGAATTTGTGTTTGGTGAGGGGGAAATGGTGAATTTATAGACGAAGATTAAAGCTTTGTGGTTCCCGCATATGAGGAATCGAAGATAACTAAGACGAAGATAAAATATTTTACGCTAGTTTGTTTGACTGAACATAGATTTTGAAAATTAATTTTATAAAAAAAATTAAAAAAATTAATGTCTAATTAATTTAGAATTTAACAATTCAAATCATTAG